CTGATAGTTACTGGTTTGGCCACGGGAGAGAAACTTTCAAAAAAATCAATACCAGGAATTTGATTAAAACCCTTTGCAACTAATCGCGCTTTACATCTATCTAGAGTGCCATCAGCCTTTAATTTTGCTTTAAAAACCCATTTGCAACCTATAGGCTTCTTTCCAGAAGGCAAAGAGGTCAACTCCCAAGTTTCATTTTTCTCCAAAGCATCAAGTTCTGCTCTCATTGCTTCAGACCATTCCTTCTTTGAGCTTGCATCCCTGTATGAAGTAGGTTCTTGGATAGTGGTAATGTTAGCCAGGTATTCAACATATATAGGGTGAAAACAAGGTGAAGTATAGTATGGAAAAGTGTTAGGGGTGAAGGTTGAAGAGGCGGTGTTTGAATGATGGGAGACAGAAGTAGAAATTTCAGATGTTTGGGTGAGATTGGACACAAAATCTTGCATCCATATAGGTGGAATTTTTTGTCTGGTGCTCTTCCTGATGTAAGGTTGAATAGGACCAAAATCACTCGCAGGTAACATGTCTGTAGAAATGGAGGAACCATCATTGTGATTATCAGCACAGGGGGTAGACTAATAGGAAAAACAAAGGCTTCGGCAGGAATAGGATCATCTTGATGTTGTTCAAACATTGGAATAGGAAGAGGTAAATTCTGATCAGAAATGGAATTGGCTTTATAGGGAAAGATATTTTCATGAAAGACAACGTCTCGAGAAACCAGAATTTGTCGTCTTCTAAGGTCATAAACCTTGAATCCTTTGGTACCATGACTATAACCCACCATAACATACCTAAAACTTCTAGGAGAGAATTTGTCCTTGAAAGGTTGAGAGTTAGTGGCATAACAGAGGCACCTAAAAACTTTGAGATTTTGACCAAAAGAATTTAGGCAAGTTTGCTTGAAACATAAGAGCTCTCGCAATTTGTAATAAGTGTATGTGCTTCCTCTCAACAACACCATTCTGTTGAGGTGTATAAACACAAGTCTTTTGATGTATTATACCATTATCAACAAGAAATTTTTTAAAATCAGAATTGACAAATTCAGTGCCATTATCAGATTGTACATATTTAATATCAATGTGGAATTGATTTCGAAGAAATTGGTGGAAGGCTTTGAAAGTCTGTAAAACCTGAATCTTATGTTTGAGAAGAAAAGTCCTAGTGGCTCTACTTAGATCATCAACAATGGTTAAAAAATAATGTGCCCTGGATATGGAAGCTTGC